TCCATACTGTTGCCTCAGGGCAACAATGTGCTACGAGGGTATTGAAACACCAAGGATTTCTACAAAAGAAATAGAAAAAAAAACTCTATATGAATTAAAAAGGTTTTCTTTGCGTGTGTCTGTGTGTATGTGTCTGTGCGTGTCTGTGTGTGTGTGTATGTGTGTGTGTCTGTGTGGGTGTGTGCCTGTGTGTATGTGTGTGTCTGTCTGTGTGTGTCTCTGTGTGTGTCTCTGTCTGTGTGTGTGTGCATGTCTTTGTGTATGTGTGTGTCTGTGTTTTAATCAGCGCTAAAACACCTTTCTTCCTGAGACTGATATTGTTGGACAGAGTATTTTAAGAGGATGGTAGACATGATATCAGCAGCAGCATTTGTATACCTTGGAAAGTCTTTAGAGTCTGGCCTGGATAGATAGTCACAAATATCCTTCAGCAAAGTATCACACTCTGTCACAGGGTTGCCCTCTTATGATGCTGCTGTCTTTTAATATATAATTATTCCTCTGCCGCTAGTTCGTTCCTCGCAGATTTTTCAGTCTCATCAGCCTCATCCTTCCATCAGTCCCAGTCAATGCCTCCAGCACACTTCCAGTGTCTGACTCCATATGATATTGTCCTGATGCTGTAAGGGTGATGTCCCATGATCACAAAATGACCCCTCTAAAGTCTGAGTGCCAAGGACCTCATATTATGTATGTCATTAATGTTACATCACCCATTATAACAATTTTCTTTCCTTTTTTCTCTTCTCTTAACTGAATAGTCCTGTCTTTAAGCATAATACAATGTGAAGTCCTTTTCCTGCACAATTTTAAGGCTTCAAAACAGGCATGTGTTTGGAGAAATGACACAATCAATGGCCCAGAATTGTACTTTATAAACTATGAATCTTGTGGTGCTTGAAGAAATACAGACTGGTTAAGCCGGCCAGGTTACATATATACTGTACAGTGGGGAAAAAAAGTATTTAGTCAGCCACCAAATGTGCAAGTTCTCCCACTTAAAAAAAGATGAGAGAGCCCTGTAATTTTCATCCTAGGTACACTTCAACTATGAGAGACAGAATGGGGGGAAAGAATCCAGGAAATCACATTGTAGGATTTTGAATGAATTAATTGTTAAATTCCTCGGTAAAATAAGTATTTGGTCACCTACAAACAAACAAGATTTATGGCTCTCACAGACCTGTAACTTCTTCTTTAAGAGCCTCCTCTGTCCTCCACTTGTTAACTGTATTAATGGCACCTGTTTGAACTCGTTATCAGTATAAAAGACACCTGTCCACAACCTCAAACAGTCACACTCCAAACTCCACTATGGCCAAGACCAAAGAGCTGTCAAAGGACACCAGAAACAAAATTGTAGACCTGCACCAGGCTGGGAAGACTGAATCTGCAATAGGTAAGCAGCTTGGTGTGAAGAAATCAACTGTGGGAGCAATTATTAGAAGATGGAAGCCATACAAGACCACTGATAATCTCCCTCGATCTGGGGCTCCACGCAAGATCTCACCCCGTGGGGTCAAAATGATCACAAGAACGGTGAGAAAAAATCTCAGAACCACACGGGGGGACCTAGTCAATGACCTGCAGAGAGCTGGGACCAAAGTAACAAAGGCTACCATCAGTAACACACTACGCCACCAGGGACTCAAATCCTGCAGTGCCAGACGTGTCCCCCTGCTTAAGCCAGTACATGTCCAGGCCCGTCTGAAGTTTGCTAGAGAGCATTTAGATGATCCAGAAGAGGATTGGGAGAATGTCATATGGTCAGATGAAACCAAAATAGAACTTTTTGGTAAAAACTCAACTAGACGTGTTTGGAGGAGAAAGAATGCTGAGTTGCATCCAAAGAACACCATACCTACTGTGAAACATGGGGGTGGAAACATCATGCTTTGGGGCTGTTTTTCTGCAAAGGGACCAAGACGACTGATCCGTGTAAAGGAAAGAATGAATGGGGCCATGTATCGTGAGATTTTGAGTGACAACCTCCTTCCATCAGCAAGGGCATTGAAGATGAAACGTGGCTGGGTCTTTCAGCATGACAATGATCCCAAACACACCGCCCGGGCAACGAAGGAGTGGCTTCGTAAGAAGCATTTCAAGGTCCTGGAGTGGCCTAGCCAGTCTCCAGATCTCAACCCCATAGAAAATCTTTGGAGGGAGTTGAAAGTCCGTGTTGCCCAGCGACAGCCCCAAAACATCACTGCTCTAGAGGAGATCTGCATGGAGGTATGGGCCAAAATACCAGCAACAGTGTGTGAAAATCTTGTGAAGACTTACAAAAAACGTTTGACCTCTGTCATTGCCAACAAAGGGTATATAACAAAGTATTGAGATGAACTTTTGTTATTGACCAAATACTTATTTTCCACCAGAATTTGCAAATAAATTCTTTAAAAATCAGACAATGTGATTTTCTCGATTTTTTCCCCCCATTCTGTCTCTCATAGTAGAGGTATACCTGAAAATTACAGGCCTCTCTCATTGTTTTAAGTGGGAGAACTTGCACAATTGGTGGCTGACTAAATACTTTTTTGCCCCACTGTATATGCCTTTTTTGGAGCCCTTTTTTGCAATATTTATTAAAATGTCACTAGTTATTAAATAAATAAACCACTATCTGAGGATAACACAAGCAACCATAACACGCCCTTTATCTGAGAGCCATTGAAGCCCATGAAGAATGTATCCTTCCACAAATCTTTTCATCTGCTGTATTAATAAAGCTGCCCACGTGTTTGCAGATTCAAGTTAATTAAGGCACTATCTGTGCAGAACATTACAAACATTCTTAATTTGCAGTATTTTATTTTAAAAGTGTTCAGAAAGACTGCATCACATATGCTATATCTATATATCTTATATCAATATTGTTATTAACCTCAATCAAAGTCAATTTAAATAGCGGGCAATACTTTCCAAGGGGTAAAAATGCTGCTGCCGCCGGACATACTGACTGGCAGTATTGCTGATATGATATCATGTCTCAAAAAGTACACAGTAAGTACTTCATAGTATTTGTTGTGGGAGTCGTTTCACTACTAGCCTATGAGTCCAACATGATCGATCTCATGAAGAACTATTGGCAGAAAAAATAATAACAAACTCGAGAGACGGCTGAGCTGACCGGAGTGCAGAATCGCTGTATAGTTGAAATCCCCAAATAATGTTGTCCATTTTAGACATAGGCCTATTATATTCACAGCCCTTAATAACATTCATTTTCTGGGCTCAATATGTGTCTTGGCTGTTTTCGTTGTGAAAACAAATGGACCCTAGATACACGGATTGACCGTCCTTATCTGCGCTCTTATTTTGAAAGACAACTTCCGGTAGCAGAATATGAAAAAACGAGGGTTTTTTTGTTTCTGTTTTCTAGTGATTTTATTTTTTGTTTTGAGAAGTAGACAATGAAAATCATCCCGTTTTTTAAGTTTAGTAAATCCATTTTTGACCATGATAAAGAAAAATGCCTTGTATTTCAATTTTGGTTTTTCAATTTGAAAACGAAAATTAAATATCCAGTCGTTTTTTGTTTTTGAATATCCTTTTGTGAAAAGAAAATCCAATGACCAAAACATACACTGACCGAGGAACTTATCCACAGTCAGTGTATAACATTTAGTAGATGGAGTTCGGTACACCCCACTTTGGAGAAACAATGGAGTTGGAAGCATAGTAATGTGATGAAGCAGCACAACGTAGTTTAGCCTCCTAACAGAAAGGCCAACCTCAATAACATGTATATCAGTTCAGCTGTAAACTATGTTTATAATAATTTCACCACTTAACCTTGCTGTGAGATTTTGAAGCCGCTCTCTATGGTCTTGACAAAGAAACCAGACTCCATTCAAATTGTAATTATCAATTTGCACTGCTGCCTCAATCGGTTAGCTTGTTTATGTCTATTATTACATGTTGTTAGTGTCAGAAAAAGTTTATTAAGTCATTTCAGTTTAATTTGTATACAGTACTACCTCTATTGTCAGCTGTTCATTATAAAAAAAAAACAGCATTAAACAAACCATCATGCTCTTACTTTGAAAACATGCAGAAATGTCATCATCAGCGGGCCATCACGTGGTTTCCGAAAATCACCGAGTGACACGAGTAGATTTTTAGCAAAGACCGGCGGAAAATATGTCTCAAAATTCCGTGTGTAAAAAGACGATCCACAAGCAGAAATGTGAGATCCACGAGCAGAGATTTGAGATCCGCAAGCGCATTTTTGGTCGGCAAATACAAAATGGATTCACAAATGCCTGATCGAAAGTTGTCAATGTTAAAGAGATAATCACAGATCTTTTTTTTATTTGTGAAAATATTTAGCGTATTTGCAGATCCGTTTTACACTTGCACATTTATTTGTGAGTTTGTAAATCTTTTAAATGCATTTGTGGATGTTGTTTTACATTTCCAAATCACATATTTACACACAAATTATTTTTATGTTCACACAAATAATTATGAGACATATCTATGCCCATACTCCTCCCTCACCCCTCCTCGACTCCTCCGTGTACATTTCAGCTATTGGGACGTCCTTCAAAATGGCGTGTCTTGATCGATTTCCGGGTCAAGTCCCGGAGGAGGGGAAGAGAAGGAGGAGTCGAGGAGGGGTATTGGGATGAGGCTGGTTCATATTTGTATTCTGTACTGTTCAAAAAGGTCTTTATTTTTCTCATACTGCCTGTGCTTCAGCACCTCTTTTCACCCTCAGTCTGAAACCAGAGACCAGTCTGCTCTGATTGGTTAGCTGGCCGTCTCTGTTGTGATTGGTTAGAGATGTCCCGCCTATCATGGATAATATGATGAAGCGCAAGAAACTCCCTCTGGTGTGAACTTTTAAGATTTTAGCCTTTGCAGACCATTTACATGCACCTATATAACACACTGTAGGAAAGGTAAACTCCCAAAAAGCACAATAGGGCCCCTTTAAACTTTGTATATGAATAATTAATTAAGGCTAATTGAAAAAAACCCACAACAAACAGTGATTGTTTTAAATGTACAAAGTTGCACAGGTCTTTTTTATCAGTACTTGAAAATATTCAACAATGAAAGTTAAATCAAACAGTAAGAATAAGTAATAACAATAATTAATATCAGCAATAACTAGACTTAAAGTAAGTTTCCTTTTTTTTTTTTTTTACTGAAACACCTGAGGGAAGCAAATCAAAAGAGAACCCAGACAAATAACCACTGAAGTTAAGAAAAACAAACCACATTAAATCAAGAAAAGCTCATACTAGGGTCACTCACTTCATCTGTATGTACAGCACATTCGCTCCACACTGTGGGGGGGCAGCAGTGATGAAAGAACAGTGATGGAAACCAGCTGTATGGATTCACATGTAAAGGCAGGGTGAAGCAGAACTACAACAGAAACAGGAAAACACATTTGGATCCGGACAGGGAAGTGTTTTTCTTCCATGATGTTGTGCATTACAGCTACAGAACTGACAGTACTCCATTTGTTACTTTGATTTGAAAGGCTGAGAGGACTGAGAAAGCATTGTCCTGTGCACAAAATAACCCAAGCACACAGTGGAAACTCAACCCAATATCATTTAAAAAACAATGGTCACTGGATGCATAAGACACGGCCCCTATCCTGACACCCCCGAACTGTTAAGAAATTCATTCAAGCTTGTTTCAGTAAGAACCATGACATCAACATTAGTTTGGAAGTGGATCTGAGAATCACATTTCATGTTTGTCTGTACATTAATCAATATTCATTACAATTCAATCCTCGTTCATTTAACTTCCTGTCGACTCTCACGAAAAACACATTACTGGAAAAAGAGGGAAATAGAAATGCAAAGAAACCTTTGGTCAAAGAGTGTACTCACAAAGGAAAAAACGCTATGACGAGAAAAAAACAGGAAATTATTCATCACTAAAAATTAAGAAAACAACAAACTTAAAGTGGTTTTCTATACGTTTCTCTCTCTTTCTGACAATATGGCCCGTAGTTCAACCCTCCTCCCATTACATTTGGGTCTGCAAGTTATACTGGTTTCCTCACAGAGGAAAGAAGGAAAGAAAAAGGTGCTCTTTTCATGAAAGTCATGTTTGTCTTGATTGTCCACAAAAAAGACGGGCCAGCAGGAAGTAACCCCGGCGAAAGGATATACAATCACAGCGTAAAACGACGACATCCTTCACGGGAAAGGAATTGAGAGTCCCGCTCCTGAAAAGACTGAACCGGCATTGAAATCTGTGTGTGTGCACATGAACTGTGCAAATGTCTCTGTGGTGGTTGGAGTTCAGTCCTATTCGGAGACCGTCTTGTCCTGTGGGGCCGGGTCCTCCAGGCAGCTCCTGCGGATGATGGGCAGCGGGTGGGCTTCTGTGTTGAAGACCCAGTCCTCCAGAGAGAGGAGGTCGTCATCAGAGAACAGCAGGTACAGATACCTGAGCACAGGAAAAACATCATTTACATATAAACAACATGGTTCACTGAGAACTACACCTGCACACACTAGTCTGTGTTGGATATGGCGTGTGTGTTACATGTTGTGATCATGGATGATGCCTCTCGTTTCTGTTATGTGCTATATGTGACATGTATGTAGTAACGTGTGTAGTTTGCATTGTATTGTTCTCTTTTATCCTTTCATCCTTTTTCTATAACTAATGCTGTTGATTTGAAGTGTGCCTATTATCATCTGGCCGGGGACAACAGCTGGAAATGAGCAATGTTTGCTAAAGCTGCCCCATAATCCCACATTTACAGTTTGTGACAGTTGATCCACGACACTATAAAGAATAAACTAATTGTATTGCCATGTCATAAATACTTGTATATTCTGCTCTTGCTCTTTTGCACTTTTCTTGCATTTCATGTATTTGTATTTTCTATGTTTGTAAATGTCATTTTCTTAAATGTTTTATGTGATGGAAAGTAGCTCAAAGCAAAATCCGGCATATTTACGCTCGGCACATTTATTGTTTTAAGTTTTCATTAATGTGCAATGTCCCTACCAAATAAACGATTAAATACATAAATAAACTAAACATCTAGGCTCCTTGAGTACAATTCTTCAGATTTCCAAAGGAGTGCCAATTCTTCCTTTTAGAGTAAATCAGTCATATCGTAGCTTAACTCTATCAGAATCAGAAATCCTTTCTTTGTCCCACAGAGGAAATGTACAGTGTTAAAGGGGACAGTGCAGACGAGACAACATCAATATGTTGAATAACATAATAAAAAAGAGGAAACAAATGACGCTGCTGGGTAGCTTGTGAAATTACTTCTGGGGATCTTATTTTATCTTAATACATCATCATTTATTTGCTTTATTTGGTATTATTTATCTCATTCCACAAAGTAATCAAATACACATAGAGACACAGTGTAAACACAAAATAAAATCCCCTGTCCCCAGCTGGTGATAGCTTTGCCAGCTTAATCTCGCTTAATTATTCACGAGCAAAGATTTTTTGTCAAGATTAGTCGCTCTAAAGTGCGAGCATTAGGGACGGTGAGGCAGTCTGCTGTTTAAAGTTTTCTGGAGACTGCTGACCAGAATATGCACCCTGAATATTTTTGTGTTGCTAAGTGACCCTACAGTCGGCCCTGATTTATTTTCATTCACAAGCGAAATGGAGAAGATCTCATTCAAAGTGTGATTGGAATCAGTGCACTGATGTCTGACTCGCAGAATGGATGACGCTCCAGCTTTGGATCCTATTATTACTTTCTATATCTTTGATGGTTATACATGCAGATTGTAAAGTGCCATCTGCCACAGGGAGATGTGCTGAGGAAACAGGACTTACTTGAGTGTTTCTGAGAGGAAGAAGCTCTGCTGCATGTTGTCGTGGCTCGCTGTCAGGGTGTAAACGTCACGGATCCCCGAGAAGCCGGACTCCACCCTGCAGTGCTGCTCCAGCGCCTGAGAGGTGAGAGGTCAAGGTTTATGAGGACACATTACGCTCATTTTCAGGTTCATATTTGTATATGGTGCCTCTACTGTGACATGATATGAAAACCCCAAAAAGCATAATAAGGCTTCTTTAAATGTGAAAATGCATTAGGTCTGCACATTCAATTGAGTTTATTGTAATCGCAAAATGGTGCAATATTCAAATCGCAGGCACAATATGTGTTAAAGTGCAGAGGTGCAGAGACATTCAAGGTTGCACATTTTATTCTACAGACTTAACATATTTGACGCAAATTATCTTTAAAACCAAATCATTAACATATTTTATATAATTTGAATATGTAAACCATATGGAAATTGCATTATGGATAAAAAATAATCGCTAAATTAGGTATTTCTTCCAAATTTTGCATCTACAACATTTTTTTCTTTTCCTCTCCAAAGTTATGGCTGAATTGAATCAACACTACCTCATTCATTTATTCACCCTCTTAATCAGTTTTCACCTTTATCTCCACTGTACTGTGATAGGAAAACATATTCAGTCTGATATATTTTGACGAATAAAAACTCAAATCCTCTACTCGTAAAATAACGTGTGTCTTTGTGCACTAAGGAAAAGTAAATGATGGTGAAACATGTCAAAGCCTGAGCGATGCTAAATCTGACAAGAGCTAATGGAGAGTGGCTGAGCTAACCAAGCGGATTAGCCCATTACTACCTGCTACAAAGGTCTGGCTTATATGTGCTAATTAACAAAGACCCCGACGTGTTAATGCTTGATGTTCACGAACAGACGCATTGTGCACCGCTCGCAACCTTTGTGCCCGATAATTAAAGGACTGTCAGTGTCTTCAGCGTGATCCCTCCACTTCTCTGCACACTCAATTAATGTGGAATCTTTCATGGCAGCCCTCTGCAGTTTACTGAAGCTAATGTCCTGTCGATTGCCACATTAATAATAGTGCTCAACCTTCACCTACTGCTACTGCCGCCGCCTGATCCTCACGCTAATGTATAGTGCCACGCAATATCAGGGGGGCTGGCGGAGGGTAATTGAGGGTGTTAAAGGGGCTTGACATGAAAGATGGGTACATTTTATAAAATCTGACTCCAAGCTACTACTTGGTTTAGGTTGTAACATTATAATGTACTGCATCTCCCACTTAATCATAACACGCAATTATTATTTGAACCTTACTAGACTGAATATAAGACGATATTTATTTACGGATATTACATTTAAACAAGTATTAGATTCAAGGACTAGAAATCCACACAGCAGGTTTTATCATGCAATGGAGGAAGTAACTGCCTCTACATTACTTTAAATGAAGAGAGTGTTGGATTAAGGTTTGATAGGCTGGCACGCTTCTTAAAGTTTGTTTATAGTGTATCTTTTATATTTCAGTTTATTTGGGCCAGTTTCTGTTCACATTGACCTTTTGAAATGTATGTAACTGTCATGTAGATTGGACGGTTGCAGCAAGTTGTAGTCTCACAAAATGCAAACCTATCTAGACTAAAACTGTCCCTGAATAGTAAATATTGATCAAAAGACAGATACGGGACCCCAAAAAAAAGTAATTGTTTATAATAAAATGGGAGGATAATAACAATGCAATCACTACATTACGGCTAACATTTACAGTTACAAAAGCTTTGATTTAAAATGTTCCGAAAGGTACTGTCACACCGTCATTTGGTTGGTTATGATGGGGCCATTACTGTGCAAGACAGGATAAACAAGACTAAGAATTAGCGTAATCAAGGAAACTAAATGTGGTGTTTACATCATGCTCCACTGAAAGACTGAAAAACATTAAAAAGGTTTACCGAGGTTCTGACGATCATATCCTCTGACTCTAAGTATCTTAGCTTTGCCAACATGGCTAGTTTCAATAAATATTTCTCATCTCCCAAACAGGGCTCTCGACTAACTTTTTTCCCCATCCTCCCGGAACCGTCCCGAAATACATTCTAAGCCGTCCCGAAATGAATGTGGACCGTCCCGAATTTAAAATGTTAGTTTTTCTACATTATCATTAGTTAAAATCATTCAAAGTGACCTTTAACATAAATAAAACATCATACAAATCATTAGATGATAATTCATCAACCTTTTTATGAGTAAATCATTCAATCACATAAACAAAGGCCAAATATATTTAAACAAACACACAAACGAGAAAATTACTCTAATATTGAATCCAATCAAGTCCCATCCAATTAACAAAAAAATCCAACACTCTGTACTGAAGACAGAACCCAGAGTAACCACAGATGACAGTCTGCAACACAGTCAGGAGACCTTTACAAACGGCCCGCCCCCTCGCACACAGACGGGAGAGAGAGAGATCTCGTCTGGATTGGAAAGCTCGAAAATACATCATAGACGCATGTTGTAGTCTTATTGCATATTAGAAACGGAGTTGGTGAAACTAAAACTGCGATATAATGTGTATGTAGCAATAATACATATGACATATATTTTTTAAATGTCTCCAGTACCGATAAAAAGTCCGATAACGTCGGAGCTTAACGTTACCACTGTCTTTAATAATTCCGCCCCGGGGCCCGTTTAATACCGGGGCTCGGTACCCATCCCTACATGGGGAGGCGCAGCATATTGCTAAGGACTAAATACGATGGAGAGTTCTCATCTCAGCCTTATTACCCATAGGGGATGAAGAGGAGTAAGTAAATAAAGAGGCCAGCGCTCCAGGGTCTGGTTCTGCTGTGCATTTTTGTGATGTAACGGTAAAACATTTCAGAATTCCTCCACGGGATGCCATTGTACATCACTCAACCCGCGAAATACACACACTCAGTACATAGCTAGACCCGAGAATTTGCGGGCCAGGAATTCGCAGGCACAGCCAGCTGGGCGGCTGGCTGACAGCCAGCGGCACAGCTGTAGCTACATGTGTGTGTATTTCGCGGGTTTCTAAATGTTTTGTGCGTGTGTGTTAATGATGGTGTTTATGTTGACAAGGAGGTTTAATAACTGTGTGCTACACAAAACGTGCAGTCGGTTTCATTTTCATCGCCGTTTGTAGTAGAGTTAGCAGGGTATTTTTATTTTAACTCTCGTCCCAAATTCGTCCCAAAATTATTTGTTATCCTCCCTGACACTATTTTTTTCGGCCCCGGGACGACGGGACGTCCTTAAGCTCGAGCCCTGCTCCCAAAAACAGCGTTATTTAACGTAGCCTGTGTTGGGGTGTCTCACCTGAACAGCCTCCCACCCCCACTCTCTGTACTTGGGGTCATGGGTCAGCCTCCACATGTACATGTAGCTCTCGATGACCTCTGGGCGGAGGATGTAGTATCTGTCGTTCAGTCTGGTGGCCGTGGCTTCTCCTCCGCTGTCAAATCGGAACGCCTCCGGGCCCAGTTTGGTGGCTGATGGAGACAAAAAAGAAAAAAAACATTTATATTTCTGCAGTCAGCACCTCTACCGGATCTGCAATCAATCCCATATCAAACAAATCTAAGCACACTAGAGTATTTCTGTCTTTTCTGCCTTTCAATGACCATCACCACAGTCCACAGAGCCCTTTATAATTGTTAGTTTCCATGTTTCAGGTTAGACAATTAAGATGTGTCCAGATGGTCTGTTGGCTTCTTTTTCTCTCTTCCTCCTTCTTTCATTATATCTCTAACACAATTCAAGACTGCATGGCAAACGGACTCTATTCATGATCCAACACAAAGGAATCAATTCCTGCCAAGGTCGGGACAGGAGCATCGGCATGGCAACATCTCAGAAAAACACTTGAAGAGAAAGATGTTACATGACAGGCAAGATGAGTCTGATATGTAATTTATTACTTTGAATATATGTTATAAATATTTAGCGTTATATGTAGATTTGATCATGTTTTAGAAAGAAAGTGTTTTACGCTTTCCAGATCTGATCCTGTTTTCATTTGCATAAAAACATTTCCTGTGTCAAGCACATCCTATGTATTATTGAAATCTTAAAAATGCAGAATATCTAATATACATTTTTCAAATGTCTGCACAATGCTCTCTTTAAAATGCACGCCACCTTCACTTGAAATTCAGATATACTGCACACATTTTTTTTACAGTAATTTGTCATATTTTCCTTGCCTGTATAGTATTTCTAAATGTACTCTTATTAAATAACTTAAATTATTTTGCTGTGTTAACTGTGTTTGTTTACATTAGGCAAGTTTATTTATATAGCACCTTTCAACACAAGGCAATTCAAAGTGCTTTACAAAAAATGTAAGACATTAAGAAAATGGCATTTAAAGTCAGTCATTAAAAAGCAAAGATAATATCAATCAATGTTTATTTATATAGCCCAATATCACAAATGTTACATTTGTCTCAGTGGTCTTCACAGTGTGTACAGAATATCAGTATGACAATACGACACCCTCTGTTCTTAGACCCTCACATCGTACAAGGAAACACTTCCAGAGAAAACCCCACAGTTTAAAGGGGATAAAATAAAACATTAAAAGAAAAAATACATGGATAAAAGTTACAGTGCAGTTTAAAGAGCCTGTGACACGAGTTTCCCCCATCATCCAAACCCATCAATTTGAGTAAATATTGTCCCCTTGAAAATCGTTACTTAACTAATTTTGGATATTTGTACTTTGATAACCATTAATCTGCCCTTCAATGTTGACCATTTTCTGGATCTTCTCGGGGATTCTTCAAATCCCGCCAAATGATGTGTGACGTCATTGCGGGCACAGCGCTCCAGCTGCACCGTTCAGGATCCCAGCATCTGCATGTAAACGCACGATGGCGCACACAGCAGCAAGCTCAGACAGCGATGACAGTTTCATTTTGAACGTGTCTGAGAGCTCATATGAGGCTGAAGGATCGGTTGATGTTGTATCTGTTAGAAGTTTAGGAATTAGGTGCGTCAATATGGGCGATCACACGGTCATGTAGCCAATGGTGGACTGGGACTAAAAATCATCCCGGGACTCTCGACCGGCCCACTTCGGTACCGCTAGTAAATTGTCAACGGGGGGAGTGGGGGATGTGCTAGTGACTTATCCGACCGGCCCACTTCGGTACCGGCCAGTCCTCCACTGCACCCAGCCCACGTAAACTGTCAACGGGGGGCGCCTCGCTGCGGGGAAACGGTGGACATAGTGTCCCGATCGGAGTGGGAATAATAATAATAATAATAATCCGTGCATTTTATCCATTAATTTCCCCAACATTGTGGTGAAAAAAACACACGTTTAATCCATGTTGGTGTACTACAACTACAAAAAGCATCGGTTTGTTTTCTCATCAGGAAATGCAGACCGGCTCAAACAAACGATTTGTAATCATCATTCTCACGATCATTTAATGTATCATATGTTCGCCGAATTGACATGAAAGCACTAATACATGTAGTTTCATCCACTTGAGTTTACAACTACAAAAATAATCGATTTGTTTTGATATCACATCCGACGGGAGGAAATTCAGCAGCTCTCACTACCGATTTTTAATCCTAATGTAATCATCATCTTCACCACGATCATTTATGTTTATGTTCGCCGAATTGACATGAAAGCACTGACAAATATGAATATACTGTAGTCAACTTCATTACAACGTTATTAACGTGCCTAAACTCAGTAATTCACCATTTCTACGCATGACAACACACTTTGTCCGTGTTTGGCTCTCTCGCCGCACAGTGAAGCGTTCCCGCATTGACGTCACTTCCGGCTTCCCCCAAAACATCAAAATGAGTCGAAGGAATTTCCCCGCGATGTTCGAAATTATTGATATTTATCGGAACGGTATCGCACCTTCTTTTTTAAACTGACGGTTCGAGATTACTAGTAGCCCAATATTTCATTGCACAACAGTTGTTGGGATGCTGTCACAGGCTCTTTAAGATGTGAATAGTTCAATTAAAAGCAGCGACAAAAAGAACAATTAAGGAAATTCCTTGTATGTATAAAACGTCTCGGCAGTAAATATGTGAGTAACTATGTGTAATGTCATAGTGCTAGTAGAGATCGCAAAACTCAACATGGTACCTTTAACTTTTGTCTTGAAAAACCAACATCAAACTCACACTTCCCCCCCGTCCCTCCACAGCTCCTCTGTTCTCACATCCTTCTGATTCTTCACCTCTGGGTGCTTCCTGCCTCCTGACGGCCTGTTTTCCGCCTGTTTTGCACTAAATAATTCTCTGTGCTGTTGATGCTTGTGATTGGAATGCTAACGCTAATTCAGCAGAGGATCATCTGTAACTCCGGCGCAGACAACACAATCGATTTTTCCACGAGTTCTAAAGATGATTAGCACGCCTCTGTCAAACTCAATTTAGAAGGATTTGTTACTCCTGCTTTGGGGCCTGAATAGAAAACACGTTCCCAACTATCTTCTTATCCACCGGTTTCCTTTTGCAACACACTGCAGTAAATCCCTCCAGACAAAACAATCAAGTCTTATTGTTTCCTGTGAATTCCCTGCTGAGCATTAATGAGTTCAGATCAGAAAGGTATTTCATTCCTATATTTAAACAGTGGTGGAAATCAGAAGTGACAGCCCTAAGTGATAAAGGTTTAACTCTATCAGCTCACACATCTCAATAGCAGAAAGCTAACCATTAAAAGTCTATAGCCACTTTTTTCCCTCTTAAACCAATAACCTTTTCATCTTCCTTCTGCTTCCCGTGAGATCTCCATTTTCCAGCATCAGTTTGCTGTGAAGCTGGCGGGGTTTCAGAGCAGCAGCAGAAGGAGAGTCTTTATGGTATCTGTGTTTAAGACACAGCCAATCGCAAATCTCACTCCTCTCTTTCTCTCTTTTCCTGCAGACGGATAACCCGAAAGCTGCTAAGCACCAATCGGTCCTTTTTAAATGAGCGCAGAGAAACCTGGTGGAGGAGAGAGCCAGAGAAGTCTCGTGGGTCTGCAGATCAAAAGCATTTCAAGCGTATCAAGGAACCTGTTATGCGGTGAGTCACATGATCTCACCGACAAAGCCTTACAGCCCACCCAACAGAAAAGGGGGTAAAAAAGAAGCTTGAAATTAGCAGAGGAGATTATTGTCAGAGCTGAGATAGATGAGGGAGGAGAAGAGATCAAATAATGGTCGTTCCAACGGAAAAAATGCTTGTTGCTGGAAACTCTTCCTCGATTGCATTTATTTTCCTTTTGGGTAAATCGTCTTTTCTCCCTCATTTACAAAGTACAACAATATATGTTTTCTTTTTTGTATTACTGCCGATTTTTATTCCATATTTTATTCCATTTAATTTCTATGTAAATACTGTTACATTTTACTGTATTTTGTATTATTTTTTATATTTTTCTAGTTCTCTATCTGTGTTTTTAATTTTTGTTTTACTTTTATGTGTGCAGCACGACACCAAGTCAAATTCCTCGTACCTACCTGGCAATAAACCTGTTTCTGATTATATATCAGAGTATGTCTACTCGTCCATACTTTATCTACATGTTCTCACCTTGTCTCTTTTTATTCTTTCTCAGAATGTGATTATCAGTGTGTAACACACTTAGAGACAGCTCCATGTTTGCTGCCTGCAGCTGTGAGACGTTGGAGAATAATCGAAGACTTTAATTCTCCGCTGCTCCTTATTACGGCCTGTCGTCTCTCTGTCGAGGTGAAGCCGCCGAGAACGATTCTCATTTTGAGTCAGGGCAAAATTAAAATGCCCGCGGCCTATTTAATTTAACATGTGGCGCGACAACACTTTTCCTTTCACTGTAAAGCCACCTAACCTCTCCTAACAAGACAGATATAGTGATGCAGTGATGAAGCATAACCTTTTTAATTAGAATAGTCTGGATGTCTAAAACACGAAATGAGCTGGATCCAACAAGTAAGAACACCAAATAAATACTTATACGTTTTAATTTCAGATGATGGGAAGCATGGCTATAACTTAAAAATAAACTGACATGTTTTCATGTACCTAAGACATATTTGACTGCTCATCAGATCCTCTTTAGTCAGAAGATGTTTTTTCCATAACGCTTCAGGCTGGAATATTTCCAAATGTTATTCAATAACAAAATGATCTTTCTCCTTCTCACTCTGCCAGTCATTTCTGTTGATGCATGTAATGTTCTGCAGAGATATTCCAACCAGTAAGGCAGGAAATTAAATATTTTAACGAAGCTATGGTTTAGCTTCCACACATGCTGTTAGGTGAGCGGTGGGGTTTAATGGCTCGTAACCAGTTTATATGTTTTGTGCTGGTGGGCTGTCTTCTAAGTTTGTCTAAGAAGAGACCAAACAGTGAGCATAACTGTGTTTCTAAAACACGTTATTAAGTTTGGTTGTGCACAAATAGGAGCTGGATTCAGGACTCTATCTATAGTGCAATTACAAATACATAAAAAGTAAAATAAGAACTTTACATAAAGCACTTTGAACTGCTTTGTGTTGAAATGTGCTATAACACCCCTTGTTGTTAAATACCAACCAACTATGTGCAATATGTACTATATATATATAGTACAAATGCCGTTAATAACTGTGCAATATATACTTAGCTGCTAAATCCTAAGAACTGTTACAGGATGTGTATTTTGTAAATGATGTAACTTTTTTAATTTTTTTAATTTTTAATTATAATTTTTTTATCTTTAATATTTTTGTATGCATGCTTCTTAGGTAACATTAAGCTGTCTTTGGCTCTTTCCTGCTGTAACAATGTATATTTCCCCTCTAACTAATGAAGGTATTCTGATTCTGATAAACTTGCCTTGCAGGACAACAAACAATGGGCCACTCTCTGCTCCTCAATTCAATTCAATTAAATTCAATCCAAAACAAAATGGGCAGGAGCAGTTCAGTCTTGCCCTCCTCCTGGGTGGTGTTGAACTTTCTAAACCAAACTATTGGTCCCCTCTCGCAGTACAGAGTCTCACCCCCCCCCCCCCCCCGTCCTCTCACCTGAGCGGGTGTAGCTCTCGTGGCAGGTGTGTGTGATCTCAGCAGCCAGGTCCAGGTAGTGCTGCCTCTTCTCCGGCTCTCCATCGTCCGCCCCGATGCCGATCATGCCCCCGGAGAAGCAGGCCAGGTGGCCCATCTTGTGGTCCAGGATCCCCCCCCTCCACTCTGCCATGTAGGTCAGACCGCCGGGGGACTTCTGCACCAGGTTAGCTTCAATCGCCTGCAGGAACACACGGTCAGGAGGGTTTAATAGATAGATGGATGGATAGAGAGATAGAGAGATAGAGAGATAGATAGACGGATAGATGGATGGATAGATAGAGAGATGGATAGATAGAGAGATAGATGGATAGAGATAGATGGATAGATAGAGAGATAGATAGATGGATAGATAGAGAGATAGATAGATAGAGAGATAGATAGAGAGATTGATGGATAGATGGATAGATAGAGAGATAGATAGATTGATGGATAGATGGAGAGATAGATAGAGAGATTGATGGATAGATGGATAGATAGAGAGATAGATAGAGAGATTGATGGATAGATGGATAGACAGATGGATGGATGGATAGATAGGTACTTTATTGATCCCAATTTGGGCAATGTTTGCGTTGCAGCAGCATAAAAAGGCAATGTACATAAGAGAAATTAAGACACAAGAAATAAACAGTCCAAAATATTTCTGAAATAGAAATAAAATAGTATTAAAAGTAAAAAAAAAAAAATATATATATATATATATATACGTGGATGTGGAAAATATACATGTGGAAATACAACTTTCCAGTAACAAATACAATGCAGGATATTATTGTGCAAGAAATTGATTATTCAATATTAAATAGAATATAAATGTAAAATGTACAGTGGGAGTTTAAGTCCAGTTATTAAGAGAAGCTATGGAGCAGAGAGTTCTCTTCCAGCCAGGTGATGAGTAAACAGACATTATCTGAGGTGACAGTATGTGGGCTTTACACTTTATGTGAAATAAATCTTTGTTTGCAATACTTGTACTGGCAAAACCGAAGCCACCTAGCCTTAACTGTGCTACATTAAGCCAGTTAATAAGCACACTACTTAACATTGACTCCAAAAATAATTGGAGGTTTTACTCCCAAACACCCAAGTGGAATATATAGAATGATATCAGTGTTTTCTATAAAAAGCCTATATGAACAATCCTCCTACACACACATGAGGGATGAGTCTAACATGTCCGCATTTAAATGTTAAATGATGTATGTGTTGTAAGATAGGAAGGCGTATCTCTGAGGGATTTCATCTGATACCCTGTGAAGAAGACGTCCAGGACAGATCCTTTTATACACGATCAAAAAACATGAGACGAAGCAAAGAAAAAAAAGGGAGATGTCCGAGTCAAAGAAAGAAATCTGTATCTTTTATAAGAAATCTTAACGTCAGGTTTTGTTCCTTTCTGCCTCTTTACAGCTGTGTATACTTTAAATGCTTGATGTTTTTTAAGACACCGTTAGAAAGACAGATAATATCTCATCATTCCCTCTTATTTACATTTCTCTCTCTTCATCTCTTGTGTTAATTCTGTCTGGCATGATGCTCATCATGCATTTGAATGCCGGTTTGTACGAGTGCTGTTAATTAAAAGTGTAAATCCTCTCTTGAATCTCAGGTCCAACCATTCATTATCTTTTAACAGCTCTTTCATGATGAGCTTACAAAGAAAAGAGGAGGAAATTAAGAAATCCTCTTCTTGATTCATATGCAAAGCACTTTTGGTTTGTGGAGTGGGATATTTGAATTTTAAATGACCCAGTGAATGTGACCTAACATCCCTTTAACCACTGCTGTGATACTGTTCAGGAAAACCTTTCATTCTAAACGAGGGTTAATAAAGATGAAACCTGCTAATGACAAAACGAACTAATGTGTATAATATGAAAGCTGATAAATACCATGTTTCTTTAAAAAAAAAAAATGTTTTTCTTGAGGGCTGAGACTGATGAATCCCCCTCTAATGAGCTGTAATCATGGCATAGTATAATTGGAAATTGTTCCCTCATTCAACAGTGTTTTAATTAGTCTACTTTTAGTTGAATGCCAAAGATAATGAGCCTTCACCTTAGATCTCTGTATGAACACACAGTATATGACTTAATCTGATAGAGGGCCATTTAAATACCAAGTCACAGGGGAGAGAGGGCGTCTGCAATTAGTGCTTCTGCCTCTGGCTTGACCCTCGGATGAGAACTGAGGAAATATCAATGGCAATATGAAGTCATTGTCTCTGATACCGTAATTGTAGCCGGAGGGAATGTGCTTTACTCTGACATTATCTATATTAAACTAAAAAGTGTATGTTTAAAGCCAGCTGTGAGTTGTATTTTTTTCTGCAGGTAGTGGGTGGGAGTGCACCTTTCGCTACAAAATAAACACATGAGTCAGTGTCTGTCTAATCACATTAAGCAGTATCAGGAAGCCTTATGTCCGTTCCACTGAGAGCATCGCTGTCACAAAAATACTCCTGCTGTGTATAATCACGCTATAGTGCTCGGAATAAAAGCATCCATTACAGCTCTACCTCCGCTTCTGATCCACTGAATGCATATAGGAGAGAGACATGTCTACACTTCTATGGATAAAAGCTGTGTTTTTGAGTGACAAGACGATACTTTTCTTTGCACTATCACGCCATTATCGTGCAGTATAGTCACTTTCTGGCATGCGGCCTGTTACGTTATCGTGATGGCAATTCAACACATAGGGCGGATTTTACTTAAAGGTCCCATGTCATGCTTTTCTGGTTATTACCCGTCCCCTTGTGTGTTATGTAGCTTTTTATGCATGTAAACGGTGTGCAGAGTCACAAACCCTCAAAGTACACCCTGTTGCGAGTAAAACTCTAACACAGAAAAGACCTGTCTGTGCTGCCCCAGAACGCCTCGTTGGAGATTTCTCTTTTTCCATTGTTTACTTCTTGGGGATAGTGACGTATTTCGGGTATAGTTACGTTACGTCCGCGGAGTCGTTACGTTTCGACCAATCCGCGGACTTCCTCACACACACACACACACACACACACACACACACACACACACACACACACACACACACACACACACACACACACACACACACACACACACACACACACACACACACACACACACACACACACACACACACACACACACACACACATTTGGCGGGACGTTGCGAGGCTCACTGCTGCGAGGAGCGGGACCCTGAGCTGGCTCACTGGTGTGGGGTCGGCGAGACAGCGAGACACCGCGGAACTCAGCCTGAGCACACACACAAACTCCCAGCCAGGCTGCAGGTGTGTGTGTGTGCACAGGCTGAGTTTCGCGGTGTATCGCTGTCTCGCAGACGGCCACTGGGCTCACAGGGAGGGGGGAGGGGGGAGGGGGGAGGGGGGGGGGGGCAGGAGCTCCAACAAGGCGTGTAGGACAGAGAGTGAATACACATACTATACAGAGATGCTGTACGAGAAACCAATGTGAGTTTGGAACATTGTACAATATACATTTATTTTAGTAGACCTCAACAATGGAATTATGATCAGTAGAAATGGCCATGACATGGGACCTTTAAGAGTCGTCACATAAATGGTTGGAAATTGTTGTAAAACTGGCAACAATGACATTTATTTGATCAGATTAATGTTAATATCACAGCAACTTCGTAATAAATATGCACAAAGAGGGATTCAATGTATGCCTTTTTTCACAGTTTACCCTCAATATGAGGCGAAAAACAACAAGATGACAGGCACTGGCTCTCTATTATTTCAATATTCATTTATGCGATTCTGTGGATGAATAAACATGCAGCAGAACACTTTACATAAAGCAGGTGAGCAAACAGGAATTAAAAAACAAGCTTAACGTCGTGTCACTCTCCGTTTAACAGATCTTAAAAAATAGGCGGCAGAAATGACCCTTTATTAATGTCGAATTATGAACTTGATGAGACATTTTATTACGGTATTCAATGCAACACTCATTGATTAAGTGTCCGGCTATGATCATTAATAAAGGCTTCAACTTGCAAAATACTTAATCATCTTTAAAAAAGCAAGAAGAAATGGCAGAACACTCTTCTGCCTTCTTATTATTCATGTTTTGACTCAAAATATGAGCTGAATATCAAACGAGCATTGTGTCTCTTTCCATAAATGTCATATATTACATGAAAAAAGTTTAGCCTTCAACTATCCTCTAAAACTTTAAGCGGTGTACCTCTCGTTCCTCTTAGGTGTAAATCACTTTCCACTCTGTTTGATCGCAGGCATATGCAAATTACTGTAACTTTTATCGTTTCGGCTAAAGGAGCCATGCCTGAGCGTGAAATGGAAGATTAAAATGTCCGTACCTCCAGCGCGCCGTAGTACATCTTCTTTGCGTCGTCGTCCGACTTGTCTGACATCAGATATGATTTGATCAGATACTCGTAGAAACTGTCCCCGAGGCCCCCGATGGAGACGTGATCTGCGGAGAGGAAGAGGAGGGAGACAGCAGGGTCACAATCAGCTCTATCTGCAGGGCAAACAAAGACTAAAGAAGCGTTGAAAGGTTGGCTCAAAAGAACGAGTGTTTTTGTATGCAATTTTCTGGCGGTTGGAAGATGTTGTACACTTTTAAACTAAAAGATTGATTCCTGTGACAGTGGATAGTGTTGGACCTGTAGCAAACAATGTCACTACTGCTAGCTACAAAGTCCTCTACGTGTATTGGGGTTACAGATGGGGTCCAAAACTAGCAAGCCACAGGAATGTCTGGGAGCAAATACATTTTATATGCTACACAAATATGGACAGGATTCGTTGAATTTTCGGAATATTGGGTTGCAGATTAGCATTTTCAAAAGGGGGGTTCGTTTAGCATGAAATACTTGAAATAACTAAAGGATGAGTTAAAAAAAGAAAGTAGAAAGAAAGTGAGGTCAAAGAAAACTATTTCTGCAAAAAAGTTAGCAATGACTGAGACCCCGTCCACACAGAGACGAAACGGGTTTTATCCGCTACAGTTCTCTATCGTATAGACCAGGGGTACTCAAATACAAATCTTAAAGGTCCAAAATAAATGTTTCAATAAGACAAAGGTCCGTTTATTACGGTCATTCAAACTTTTAAACAATTGCAACAAGATTCTTAACACGAGGTTGCAAAAACAAAAATAATCTGTATGCAGCAGTTTTCATTGTTATTGTGTCTGTGCTTGACCCCTCAGAGTCGCAGTGTAAGAGCTGCACAGTTAGGAATAAAGGCAGCTGCACCCTCTTTCATTCAGCATTCCCATTATTGCTTTATAAATGTATTCCCCCTTGTGCGTCCACTGAGGTTCGTCAGGCCCAACACATCTTCAACAAACTCCCCCTTTGCCTCATCATAACAACTCACAAACAGCAGCAACTGAGCATTGTCAGTGGTGTCAGTGGACTCACCCACAGCTAAGGAAATGCACTGTGCATTTTTTATTCCATCACAAAGCTGATGAATCAAATCACCAGCCAGTATTTATGTTCTTCTGGTTGCTGTGCAATCTGAGAGGGGATTTGCTTGATTTTACCTGTTATTTCCTCTTTTTGTTTGCCTTCAACATGGTCTCCATCACTTCAGTCATGCATTCTTTTATACTGCAGTTATTATCCAGTGGAAAGTCCTTACCTACTGGCCTAGTTCAATCAAAGTGGTTACTTTTTTTTGGCTGGGCAGTGTAGTTTTAAACACCGTCTTATTTCACTTTCTCAGGACTTAAAACTGTTTTTTGGGGGCAGACCCCCTCAAAGAAAACAATATATTTACACACGTAAGGTCATCATCTTAATAGTTTTGTATGCTCATCCGTGAGCAGAGCATCAAGTTGGCATGTCTATTACAGCTGAATGCGGCGATTACCATCTTGTTCAGCAAAACGCCTCACAAACGTATTAAGATCAACAGCTTCAGTGCGTTTTGATTCAATGCTGAGTACAGCCAAACTAACAGTCTCTTCTCTGTCAGACCGCAAATACCTCATTCCTTCAGCGCTTGGGTCAGAATGCTTCTCGTTTTGCGCCGTCCAGTTCAAAATGAAATCGCCGCCAAATCGTATGTCCACGCTCGCGCCAGGACCGGGGGAGGGGTTACATGACGTGCATCTTGTGCTGCATTCACTTGCACTCGGACATTAGAGACTTTCTCTCATAAATGTCCGATGAGCCACAACTTTTCTTTCAAAACAAAGCTGCCAACTGGGGTGGCAGCTGGGGTGGCAAGGCCTATTTTTAGGGTGTCAGTTGCCACCCCGGTAGGTGAAACTAGGCTACTAGCTACAGTACAGATGGAACGAGATGAGCTGTTAACTCTCGCTCTGAATTTTTGTTGTTTTTGTTTTAATTCTCGCTCTGACTTAGACAGGTTGAAAGAGACACACACATTTTTCCCACCCGCAGTCCGCGAAGACCCGCCCTACTGTGCCTCTGATTCGCAGATTGTTTAGGGGGAAAAAACGCTGACTGGATGCTGAATGTGATTGGACCAAAGCGTTGACACACACAGGTGGAACACAGTGGAACAGTCAGACATGCAGAGCGCTGTTTGCAGTGGACATAGCGGAGAATTTTGACTCGTTGCGAATGCGTTGTGGCGATGTCTCACATATAATACAGAGAGATAATACATATTAAAAGTATAATTTGCTCAGAGTCCGGAGACAGTGCTGGTTCGGTCCGGATCCGGACCGGAGTCCGTAGTTTGAGGATGCCTGGTATAGACGGTTTGTTCACACGAGGCCGACACGGAAACGCGGATAACGATAACGACAACAGCTCCCAAGGAGGGTAGATCTGCGGACGAAACGTTCTGGGGGGCCAAACGGCTCTGTGTGTACGCCCTATACGGTCATTTCCTGATAACGATGAAGCCATAGCCCGCCTCTCTCTGCTGCTCACCCCCGCATCACCCGCGTCATTGCTGATGTGTTTTGCCAACAACAACAACAACAACAACAATGGCGGATCACAGGGTTGCTTTCGTGCTCCAGACGCTACTGACCTTGATACAGATGTTAGTGCAACAATCTACAGCTCCTCTACCACAACCATCAGCAACAAGTGGACATGGAGAACTACATGTTGCTAAATTCACCGCGGAGAATAAACAGAAGGGCAACCATGGCAACCATGCTCGGGGGGGGGAGTCTTCTTCGCTGCTTTTGGTGTATTTTGTGGCGGAAGTACAGCGCCACTTACAGGCCCGGCATATGTACTACAGTGTCTCCAGGAGGTCGAGCGGTCTCGTGTGGATGGACACGTTTCTTGAGCCGATTCCGTGTGGACAGAAGACTTTTTTGATATCGACATCGGTTTGTTTTCATTTTCGTTTCCGTGTGGATGGGGCCTGAGAGTCAGACATAAACATTTCAGATGTGTGTATCTCACACTGCACTCTAACTTTAATTCATGTGCCTTTGTTATTCATGTTTTATTATCTTATAACATTCCAATTCATATCCTTGCTTTTAAATGAGTGATGATGAAATGATTTTATAATATGTTTCTTAATGCTCTTAATGTCTTTCATTTTTGTAAAGCACTTTGAATTGCCTTGTGTTGAAAGGTGCTACATAACTAAACTTGCCTTGCCTTACAAAAGCTGGGAAGTTAATTATCTCATAAACGGCTTAAAACTTAAATATATATATTAAGAATAAATCAAGTTTGTTGTTTAATTCATCTATCCACTTAATACCGCTTATATATCCATTCATCTAATGAATTATACCTTTAAGCACCTTTATGTAACACTGTTACTGCACTATTGTTTTTATTCATCATATGCAAAATAATGCCAGATAAGAAGTCGTTGGCAAGGAACATCTGAAGCCTCAGGCGCCCGCTACACTGCTAATGCTAAATGTGTATAATACATAAATATCTTAATTGAAACTCTATAAACAAATCCTTTTTAGAGGCCACCAAGTCTGAATAAACTGTGTTTGGTTTTCTGGATTCAGTTACATAATCTTTTGTGACCTGTGGTAGACAATCCAATAAATGCTGCACTGTCTACATTTTGTCACTCTTTCTTTGCTTCTCTGGTTAATTCTAGGCGTGCACGATCATGTTCCATGAACCCACACGCTCTCTGTTCCCTGAGGGTAGAAAATAGTTTATTTGAACCTAAAATAATTATGTACCACACCTAAAGCTTTCTGTAAAGAGTGGCTGTAGATTATCCTCCATAGTTCACACTTTCATTATAAAGGTGAGTATGATATTGCAGTGGAGGCGTGCATCTCTCCACTTATGCTCAAAGCACACACACACACACACACACACACACACACACACACACACACACACACACACACACACACACACACACACACACACACACACACACACCACACACACACACACACACACACACACACACACACACACACACACACACACACACACACCACACACACACACACACACACACACACACACACACACACACACACACACACACACACACACACACACACACACACACACCTACGTTGACTCCCCCGCAAGGTTATCACAGAGCTGCTGTGTTTGTCCTTGACACAGACGGGAGAGGGTGAGCTGTGAAGCACCGATTTTGTTTCTCCCTTTGTGGCGATAAATATATAGTTTGCCTCTTTACACGCTCACCACAACAATTAGCCTCTGTAATCATCCAGATTACCACCTATTCAGGCCCGGAGTCGCCTTATCACCTTGTTTTTTTCCAGCTCCTTTCAGGTAAATCAGAAAGATCCAATTTCCTGAAGTAATTGAATTCATTATCATTTTAATAACCCGGAGCTTTGGGAGTTATATAGCCACTGCTATGAAGTGATATTAAAAGTGAAAGGGAATAGACGGATGGGTGGGTGACACAGACGAGCGGCCTGAAGAGCTTTGGTGCGTGAGCTGACTCCAGGTCTGTCAGCGGTGAGGAGCCCCATGACAGAAATGAGGAAGGTAGAAAATGTGAGAAGACCTTAAATGACCTCAAAGTTAAATATAGTGGATGTTACATTGTTGGAGGAACCTGGGACTTGAGATTCTCTTTGCCATACTTTGCTGGCGCTGCTGTGCACGTAACAATAAATAAAATAAAGCTTTGAATCTTTGAATTCTTAATTTTTGAACTTAATGAAGAGATAAGAAAAGAATGTGTCATCCTGTTCACCTTGTGTTTTTTCTTCTAACAATGTCAGAAAGCCCTTGGCCTTGTTCTTCGTTACAATGAGAACTCTATATCAAACATCTACTCGCAATAATTTAACAGATGTTTAATCAGAATGAAGCTCCCATATGAAGCTAACTCAGAACTTACGTTGGACCCAGTTGCCACTGACAGGACTGAGGAAGTTGGGGTACAGGCCGTGTGGCTTTTCAATCTTGTTCAGTACTTTTCTGATGTTCATCACCTGCAAAGGTACAAAGTATTATGGTCAAGATACTGCACGGAAATAGTTTTACACATTCAACATCTACCCTATCACTGCTTCAAGCCTGGGAAACCTGTTTAAATATATAACAAATAGTTTAAAAACATACCATTGTTATGCAAGTAGAATGATAGCAGAGATTTTTTTGACCAACACCATTTTTTCTTAACTTAAATCATTATTACTTTATGTACACACAGGTGCAAAAGAAAGTCACACCATAGTATTTTTCATTGTTAATCAGAATCATGATGCAAACATAATAATTCCTTCCAATAGCGTAAACTACAATATCAGTCAAAATGACCAAAACATTTGATTTCTTACCAATCCTTCAGCCCTGTAAAGTGAGAATGGAAATGTGATCTATATGTGTAAAATGTATAATTATATCACCTTCTCCGTGTAGATTGGATTCCTGGAGAGCTCAGACAGATGGACGAACTCGAGGTGGAGGGTCCCAAACTCAGCCAGGATGCTGCTCCCGGCTGAGGCCCAGCCCCAGCTCCAACTGGTGCCACTGCAACAAAAACCAAACAGGTGGACTAAGTCTCACAGCTGTGACTCTACAGAGAACACACCTTCATAACAAGGTTGCATACACACTGCATTGCAATTAGAAAAGTTATTCACAAAGGTGATGGAGCATTGTTGGGAAGGTCGTTTAAGATAATAATGATAAGAGGTACTTTATTGATTCCACATTGGGAAATGTTTGCAGCATAGAAAGCAAAACAAGCCATTGCACATAAGGAGAAAATTAGAGTAGAAATAAACAATACTAGAATTTAAACATCTAAAAATGGAATTAAACCAGCATTACAAAGTAGAAAATATACAGTAGACTGTGAAGATAAGACATCTAAAAACTCTGACAATAAAACACAATTGAAAGGCTTTATTCAAAACATTTTATATATATTTTGAATGTGAGGCTGTTTTTATATCGTCAAAAAACCCAATCAACAAACAAGAAGAAGTGTATTCATTTCCTCTAAAGGTGGGCAGTAAAGAAACCTGTTCAACGAGCTCCTCAACATCACAGCTTACCGTGTACTTGTCTTAAGTTTAATATGCTTCTTTATTTCAATGTTTGTCGGAGTTTATATTATCAACCACAGGTAGTTCCTGCTATCAAGGCAAGGCAAGTTTATTTATACAGCAACTTTCAACACGAGGCAATTCAAAGCGTTTACAAAAATGAAAGACATTAACAAATAGTTCAGCAGAAACATCATGAATCCCAGCCACTGTTGTTTTCTCTGTTACTGAGTGATGCAACAAAGCTACTTCCTGATAGCAGCCGCCGTTTTAGAAGTGAGTCCCTCTCAGTAACAGAAAGTAACCGGCTCTGAGTGCTTGGTGGACCTCTTGGCCTCTTCTTCAGATTCCCGCTTAATGCATCATAACAGGCGGGTCTTTTTTTGATTCCCTTTTCAGATGGAAATCATTAACCATCCACCGCACGTCTGTCTCCAGAGATGTGCATAATGCTTTCCATCCAAAGTGTATTGATCTATTTGAACATTCAGCGGTTGTCATCATTTGTGGTTTTGAGACTTGGACCATGAATCATCCGCATAAACTCGCTCTTCCTCGACTTTATGCAACACCAGAGCAGAAACGATACATCGATGGCCATTAGCATTTGACTGAAAATGAATCCCCAAAATGTTAATGTTCCCCTCTTCTATAACCGAAACAATTCATCGTTTATTTTTAAATATATTCTGGGTACGGTACGTTTCCCCATGCCATTTCAATACGTCACTTTGGGCAGTGGTAAATGTTCAAAAGGATCTGTCTGTATTTTATTGACCAAATTATTGTATGAATAATTCAAGAAAAGTTTTGGGTTGCAGCACTATCAAATGTATCAAATTAAGTTGATCAGCTTCAAATTCTTCTCCAAAGTTCATGCAACAAATATATGTTTAAACATACAATATTTTAATAAACTCACAAGAAGTCTATAACATAAACTGCACCGTCATCCACCTTTACGAAGGTTTATGGTCGCATTAACCTTGACTTGAAACTTGCCAAATTGTGTGTTTTCACTGTGAAGACAGCTTTAAAGGTCACCTATTATGCAAAATCCACTTTTTCCACGTCATTTACGAGTCTCTTTACTCAGAGGGGCTGTGTAAAGAGACTCTGAAAGTTTCAGGAACAAAGATTCTCTCTCTTTTTGTCCTGATCCATTTCTATAAAAACCTGTCTGAAAATGAGCTGATCAGATTTTGGCCACTTTATGATGTCATAACGATTTTTTGGCTTGTGTAACCATTAGCCAATCAGCAACCAAGGTAACCCCCCCCCTTATCACCTGAATCTCCTCCTAGAGCACCGTGTTCTTTTTAACCAAATATCTCTCAGAGGGGCGTGGGGAGTGGCTCCTTATTTTCATCTGAAGTCACAGACAGAGAATCAGCACTTTGGAAACAGGGCTGAAACAGAGAGGATTATGGGTAATGCTACAATGATCTGTTTGGTGTTTGGAGCCAAACACTTCAGAGACATGTTTTGTATCTGAGACCTATAATATATTGATGAAAAACAGTATAATAGGAGACCTTTAAAGAGTTACCCCGAAACTACGAAGACCAAGGTCAAGAACAGTGGAGAACATTATGTTTGATTTCCTCGAGTCAGTAAGGCTAATATCGGCGTGCAGATCTAATCCTCCGTTAATGTGCGGTCTCAGAGACGGTGCACTAAAGCTCTGATCACTGGAGGCAGAATATACCAGAATGACTTCACATATCCTCTAATAGACGCTGCAGAACATCACAGATCCGGTAATTAATTGAATTGAAATTGTAAGATGTAGATGGGAAAAAGGTGGGAGGTGGGTGAGTCAAAGGGTTTTCCACTCAGATGAATGCGTCCATTAAAAGTTTGGGGGCTGCATCATTAGAAGCTGTGGCTCGAGTCACATCGGAGTCTCCTTTGAGAAGAATCAATCTCAGAATCAAAGCAGAGGTGGAGACTTTCCACCGGCTCTCATTCATCTCATCAGCCCTTTAACAAACACAGACTCACTCTCTCATAGCTGTCAGAAATTAAATCAGGTGTGGAAGAAAATCTATATTACCTGTCATGCATAATGTTAGCCTAAATATTTCTACCCTTTGATATTTACTGGGGACACAAACACATAAATACAACTGTGTGACCTCTCAATATATGTAATTCATTTATCACATTGCAGTCTAGATGCAGTATCTACATGTCTGTCCAAAATGCTATTACATATTTGTGTCAATTTGCCAGAATTACCGTACAAATTATTGACTTTTTTGGGCAACATTTTTTTAATTTACTTTGAAGAGAAGAGTGAATTTGACCCAAAATATAAAATCAAAAAAAAACATATTTATTTCATGGATATTGAAGAAAATAAATGTAACTTAGGTTGCTATCAAGATCATCTTTTAGCTTTTTTAAGGGCGTTTATAAAAAAAAAAAAATACATTTTTTGAAATCATTTTGTAAGCGACTGTGTATCAAATGTGTTACAACGTGTAAACTTATATACATAAACAATGAAGAAGCCTGGTGTAAAAAGAGTCACTCGCTACAAAAGAAACCCACTTATTTTTCAAGAAAACTAACTTACAGATATTTATTAATTTAATGTTTATGTGAATGGGACAGATACACAGAGAATGGCACAACAACTATCCAGAACAACGCATCAGCTACTGTTCATTCTCAACGCCTGTCCCTGGACATTTTCAGTAAATATTGAACAGATGATTGTTTTCTCAATAAATCGTTTCATTATATAGAAGATAAGAAGCAGGAACTAGATAATGTTTTCAATTTTTGCTGGAAAAGGTATTAAATTATTGTTTTTACTGCATCAACTAATCCCTTAATCAAGCAATCTTTCTACTCCTTATAAAGAGAGAATAACAATGGAGGGGTAAGTGCTCCAGAGCTGAGCCTCAGTTCCTGTACTACACGCCAGTAGAGGAAAAAAAAAATCTCCCTCATAGTAACTTTTAGATTTTCCATCCATCCATCCATCCATCTTCTCCCGCTTATCCGTGGTCGGGTCGCGGGGGTAGCAGTTCCAGCAGAGAGCCCCAAACTTTCTTTTCCCTGGCGACATCAACCAGCTCTGACTGGGGGATCCCAAGGCGCTCCCAGGCCAGCGAAGAGATATAATCCCTCCACCTGGTCCTAGGTCTACCCCTTGGTCTCTTCCCAGCTGGACGTGCCTGGAACACCTCCCTAGGGAGGCGCCCAGGTGGCATCCTAACTAGGTGCCCGAACCACCTCAACTGGCTCCTTTCGACGCGAAGGAGGAGCGGCTCAACTCCGAGTCCCTCCCTGATGACCGAACTTCTCACCTTATCCCTAAGGGAGACACCAGCCACCCTGCGGAGAAAACCCATCTCGGCCGCTTGTATCCGCTTTTAGATTTTAAGATACATTATTGTTGGGTATTGTGTCTGAACTGTAGTTGTGCTGTGTATGGAGAGTGTTGTCTTAGATGCCGGTGCCAAAGAAAAATGTCCATTTATAGCAAATGTATGGACAATAATCTGAATCTGAGATATGGAGTGTGCAGATATCTAAAACTCAACCTAAAAGTGTATTTAACCAGAAAAAAAAACTTGGAGCTACATTTCCCTTCCAGGTATTTGACAGGTCACATTAACAGAACATGCAGGAGAACACTGAAAGCACCAAGAGTTGCTCAACAGTCAGTCACTTACAGCGTATAAGAAAAATATTTCCCACACACTGTCGGATCTGAGCAGCAGAACCCCCCGTGTGCTCAGAGCTGACTTACTGCTTGTGCTACACATTGCATATGTTCTTCTCAAAGTGACACGTGTGTGTGTGTGTGTGTGTGTGTGTGTGTGTGTGTGTGTGTGTGTGTGTGTGTGTGTGTGTGTGTGTGTGTGTGTGTGTGTGTGTGTGTGTGTGTGCGCACTCCGCTCTATGTCCCCCTATAACCCCCCTGTGGGCAGCCTGGTTCCTCCGGCCCATCTGCACCACAGACTGTGTTGGTGATGCAGTGGAAATGAAAGGTGGAGTGAGGTAATTAAATCCTCCGGCAGCTGTCCACACTGGCTGCTGGGTAATTGCTAGCAGGTGGATGACACAGGTGCCAGGAAGTTTCGTACAAAATATGGTTATAGAAAGAGAGGAAGCGCAGGGTAAATCAACTTAGATTTTATAAGCAGACATAGAAGGAGTTTACATTTAGTTGAATAACTTCCAATAATCAAACATGGCTGTGTGAAGGTAATACTTTAGATCATGGCACACTTCATCATTAAGAAAAAGCCTTTCAGATATTTTAATCCGTAGATCCTTCTGCTACTACTGCAGTATTCGGAGTAGCTCTCAAGATATACCTTTTAGTCAGCATTACACAAAATATGAGCTTTCTCTCTCTACAGATCATACTGATTTAATGGAAAGAAAGTTTCCTCACACCTTTAAGCCATCATTCGAAATTGTAGAAAATTCACTATTTTACTCAGAAGTTTAATGCTATTTAGCAAACACTGTTTTTACGCTTGTAAAATAAAAAATGGACGCATGTGATTGTTTGTTCTGAGGAACCCATTTTGTATGTAGCCTGCTTATGTATTTAACTGTACTTTTTCTCACTACTGTCTCACCATTTTTGTAACCTTTAAGTAATTTATTTGTAATGTCTTCATGTAAGTGTTAATGTCATGGATCGTGTTCAGTAAAAAAAACTCAACATATAACATTGAGTAAGTAAGAAAGGTTTCACCTGTACTTTAAATATCAATAATAAGAGCTCTTTTTTTTCATACCATTTAGAAAACATCTCCTCTGTTGTTCATGCAGGAGTCGGGCTGTGGGCACGGAGGCTAGCGATGATCATTTGAAAGTCAGCTTTCATCAGTTTGTCAAAAAAAGCTGTCTCACTATTAAATTGTAAAATGAAAATACAGAAGGCTCATTTCCTCTCTGCAGACCTGCCACACACACACACACACACACACACACACACACACACACACACACACACACACACACACACCACACACACACACACACACACACACACACACACACACACACACACACACACACACACACACACACACACACACACACACACACACACACACACACACACACACACACACACACACACACACACACACACACACACACACACACACCACTTGATGTTGTGATGCGTAACCATGGCATTAACACCCAATTGTGTCAATAAAGATGTTTTGATTATAAAGGTAATGGTTTGGAACAGATTAAAAATGAACAACTCGTTTTAATACATGCAAATATTATTCATGTGATCTTCCAAAGTGTTTATGAACACAGATTCATTATTATCCAAATGTTATCGTCATTGTAAAGCTCAGCCTGCAGCTGCTCCATTGTCAACAAACAGAGACTGAGCCTGTTTGTTTAGACCTGTTTTCCTTTGCTAATTTAGTTTTCTTCATTTATTTTTTTATCCACGATAAATTAGAACTATCATTTCAGAAAATTCACGTGGCTCTCACTTTTGTCATTAAAAGATTTGGATCTATTTTTTATCGTTTTGCAACATTTATGTCTCAAGGCAGCTGAAAGTAAAAAATCAGTGTCATTTCATGTAAGTGAGGATATAGAGGAACGCTGAACCCAATGTGAGATCATTTCTTGTTTGTTGACATTTCTCACTTCACACTCGGCTCACGTTTTGGAAATAAGCTCTGCCTCTGGTTGCCAAGATGAATAAAATGCAATATGTGCTGATTAATGCCAGCCAGCAGGAGAACTTGAAATTGTCTGTTATCGGGGATGGAGGACTTCTGGAGGTGAAGGCTACTGCTGAGACTCACCTCCCCAGGTTGATGACTCCTCTGGGGATTCCTGTCGGCGTGTTGAAGGCCGGCAGCAGTTTCTCTCCCAGCTCCACCACCTTTTTCTTGTAAAACTGGAAAAAAAACATAAAAAAGGGGCAATCTGGTGAATAGACAGCATATGTAGAAACCAGGGCTATCAACTTTAATCTGTAAACGCTGACGATTAATCTAGAAACCTTAACGTGTAAAAAGAAATCAACACAAATGAATCACCAAGTTTGATCTTAACTTCTTCACGTAAGTACAGCGTCGATGTTTACCATTCATTGCAGTAAAAAGGCAAAGAAAGAGGAGGTATGGTGCATGCTACATGTATTACACTGACTGGAAACCACTGAACGTTGGTAAGCACTAAGCAACGGCACCCCTAAGCTACAGTATGACAAATAGCAATTGCACTTGTTCGCTTAAGGTGGGATGAAAACAGAGGAAAGGTTTTTTGCCGAACCATGAGCCACTTTCTTGAAGTTGTACAGACTTGCCACCTCTTCTCCTTAGCGTATTGACCTCTTTTAGATTGTTGCTTTTATTGCATTTAAATTGTCTTTTGTTTTTTACTTGTACTTGTTTTATGGTGTGTGAGCTTTGCTGTGGGATTTTGTGTACATCTTGTTTGTTTATTTGACTGTACATCACTTTGGTCTGGAGGTTTTAAAGTGCTTTATAAAACATCTGAGACACAGACTGGGAACCACTGAACGTTGGTAAGCATTAAGCAACGGCACACCAAAGCTATGACAAATAGCAATTGCACTTGTTCGCTTAAGGTGGGATGAAAACAGCATTTTACCAAACCATGCGCCACTTTCTTGAAGTTGCACAGGAGTGGGAGATAGAGGAAGACAAGCACACTATTGTATGAACAGAAAGGGCTTGCAGTATGAAAGCGGCAGAGAAAATATGATCACAGTGGCTTTCTGTGACAGTGGATTGTCGATGTTTAGGCTAAGTATCGGAAAATTGTTGGACTTTACGCCAATTCTTCAGAAATCATGTTTATAATAAAGTAACAACGTCATGCATATCTTAATTTAAAAGACCTAACATATTTGCAGAGAAAAAAAAACTGCCCTTCGACTCATCCAAGCCTAAAATAAATCACTGTCACAGGCCTGCTCACATTTCACCTCCAAAGCTAATTATCTGAAACATGAGGCCGGCTACAATGGAGCTCCAGCAGGATTAAAAGCAATCTCATCGATGTAATCTACAACAGCCCCATTTCAAACCAACGCACTTCCTCCCCATCTCCACCGGGCCCTCTGAGGCCGAGGCTGTGGCAAAGTTAATGCATCACCTTATGAGCCGGATTATCAGTCACAAACTCTCCATTAGCCAGCGGGAACAATGTTTGAAAAATTGACGACAGAGGAGTGAGATATTGAAACCCCTGACAAAGGGAGAGACTTCTGAGGAGACAAAGGTAGCCGAGCAGAGGCGGGAGGAAAATAGGATATTCTTCAGAAAACTAGAAAGCCTCAGAGACACGAGAGAGAGCAGAAGAAGTGATTGAGAAGAGACGGGCGCTGAATAGATATAGAGGGGAAACGTAAGTCTAGACGAAGAGAAAACGCACACAAGAAAAGAGTTTGGAGAGTGGAGCGGTGACTCAGCAGAAATATTGAGCAAGTTAAAGAGAAAATGGGAAAAACAAATTACAATCAGATAGTACACACCACTGGCCTTCACCAGGATTGTAATCATTGAGCTTGTAGTCGATAAAAGACGCTTTCACCAAGCAGAGTGAACAAATATTACTGTAGATTTACTGTTTGCTGTAATGCAGTACTTGTTTCCATTGTGTCGTACCTAAAAACACATCTAGACTACGCACATATATCATAAAACTTACATACATCATGTACGTAGACTATTCAGGACTCTCTTTGCATACCATGCATATTTCAAAGCCAGTACCTGCAGTGTCCTCCTACTCAGGGGCGGTTCTAAGGGGGGGCCAACAGGGGCCAGTGCCCCCGTAACACTGACCCCTCCAAAAAAAAGGTAACAATACTACGATTAATTGGAACTAAATCAAATCAGAGACCCGGATGTACAGTGGAGATTAAACTGTAAGTTACATTTACTAAAACAAATATCTTTACAAAACCAAATAGCAATTACTGTATTTTATGTTTATTTTACACAATTACTTTATACTGTCTTTGTCTTTTTAACCCGCTTTTATTGTGCCCCTCTCATGAAATAACTGCCCCCCCCCCAGTTAAATTGGCCTAGAACCGCCACTGCTCCTACTACCCATAAGCCTTTGCATGAAACTCTTTCACATTATCGAAGCAACCACTGTGTGATCTCTACAAAAACATCCCTGTGAGGAACGAGGGATGCAAAATAGTTGGAAAATGAATAAATGAATACACAGATAAATGAATAAACAAACTAGAGGAGACATTGACTTGACAACTGCAGTTTCCAAATTGCAAGAGCCGGCCTTTTTCTTGTTTTTGCATTTTTCAGAAGGGCTGTTTCACGCCGGCTTATAAATAAGAAGCTGTCAGAAGATGTTTTCTGCAACACACCCTGAATGCTTGACCCTCAAATACAACAGCGTGTCAGACAAGATCTTTCATTACATTCAAAGTGCTCACTTAGCACAGTCAACATGTGTCTAAATACCAGTCCATTTATTAAATAGTGCTTTAAATACACTGGCCGCAAATAGGAAATGTATAAAGTAACGCAAAATAACTGATGATCAAATAGTGTCACACAAACACAGAAATACTTTTTGTATTGCTAAAGCTACTCATATTACCCTGGTGTTGCTCATACTGGACATACTCTTTGTGTATTTAAGTAGCTATGCATCTTCCTTGATATTACTCAAGGCTTAAAAAACCTGTTCAAAGCAGGTTGGTGAAAAATGTATTTAAACTCGATTTTATGTTTTCTAGGTAGACGTTAGTTTTAGGCATTTGAGGAAAAGGGCTCTGTGATTTTTTTATTGCCAAAAATGTGTGGACATTGGTGGCGAAACAAAGTTAGGGTTAATTCAGGTAGAATAATACAGAGCAGAATAATACACAGCTTGATGTTTGTGTGTGTGTGTGTGTGTGTGTGTGTGTGTGTGTGTGTGTGTGTGTGTGTGTGTGTGTGTGTGTGTGTTCCACTGCCTCTCAGTCCCCTGGCTCTCTATTATATCAAAGAGAGCACTAATGACCCTCTGCCTGGTCTCATTCCTCCTCCTCGGTCCTTTCTACCACCGCTGATGCTCAGGCAGACCAGAGGCCCACAGGCACACACACACACATTCAGAGCAGACACACTGTTAAAAAACAAGTACACATACAGACTTCCTCTTATATACTTAAGTTTGTGTGCACTTTGTAAACAGGACGGTAAACTCACATTAGGGCTGCAATTATATTGTTTTTTTAATGTCATAGCAATGTCAAATTGCGTAATAAAAACAATGCAAATTACTGCAAAATTGCACTTGGTGACACTTAGAAAGATAGTCAGAAGTTAACTTGTCAAAAAAGTAATTAGTGTTTTATTGGGGCATTTTGTGCCAGTGAGTTTAATAACAACAATGTTTGAAAATAATTTCCTTTACATTTTGTTAAAGGGGCCCTTTTTTAAGCTTATGGGGTTTTTCCTGTAGTTCCCCCCAGAGGGAGTTTCTCTCACACACCTGCCTGAAAGTTACATCACTATGGAATACACACACTTCTATAGAGTGGTGCAGGGATGACGTATTTACCCGGAAATAAGCTGTGCATGGGTTTCCTCGACAAAAAAGCAATGGGATTTCTCCATAGGATTTGGGAAAATAGCTCGAAATAAGGTCAGTGGAACGAACCTGTTAGAAAAATGCACGTTTTGTTCAGTCGGATAATCTCCACATGTCTACCCTACTTTTATCATTTTCGAATCATAAATCGAATCGCCAGAAGCAAAATGCTAACGTTAGGCTATAAACCAACTACAGCAGGGTCGCACGACTTCAACGTCACGCCAACTCAAGATCGATATTCAAAAATACAGATTCAAAATTGTACGAGTTGAAGCGTTTGTTTGAACAGTTTGCAGGAGGCAGGTACTTGCTTTCAAGCAGAACAGGGAAAACAAACGTAGTGGGAGTGTTCACGTGTGGGTAATGACGTAAAACGGCCTCGACAACTTCTGTAGTCCTATTCAGCCGCTTGTTAACAACCATCGTTTTTCAGACACGTCAACTCTTCAAAAATCACCAGCGGGGTCACTGCGGATGTATTTAATGTCGTAGAACAAAACGTGATCCGTCTCTTAAATTTGTGTCAACCACAGACCTTATTTGGAGCTATTTTCCGAAATCCCATTGGCTCTGAGACGAGGGAACAGGAAGTGGTGAAATGCTGACTCACTTCCTGGTTTTAGGACTCATCACTGCACCACTCTATTGGCTAGCACTCCAACATAGGTAAGGGGCGGGACACCTTAAAGCGGTTGACTAATCACAACAGCTAACCAATCAGAGCAGACTGGGCTCTGGTTTCAGACAGAGGGTGAAAAGAGGTGATGCAGCACAGGCAGTATGAGAAAAATAAAGGGCTTTTTGAACATTAAAGCATGGAGACATGTCACAGCAGAAGCTGGAACATATTATAACAATAGGAACCTGGAAATTAGCATAATAGGGCCCCTTTAAATAATGCAGTTTATTTAAAATATGTTTTATTGCTATCGCGATATTCAACAAATGTATCGCATATTTTTCTGATATAGTATAGTGCAGCACTAACCAATTCCATCCATGCTTTCCTATTCCAATATGAAACACCTAAACACTCCCATCAAGAAGCAGGGGCAGCAGATTACATCGCACTCATCTATACTTGTTTGCTTGTTTATAAATTATGTGATTGATTAGTGTAAAACCCCGTTGGCTGGCATCTGCTCAGTGATTTACTGTACGCTGCACACACGCTGAATTAATGGCCGTGTTCATAAATCTGTCTCCACTGACACTGCTCTCTGTGCTTCACTGAGAGACTCCTCCTGCACGTGAGCTTCATCACCAAAGTGCAGCTGTAATTTCACTCTGTGTGTTTGCACCGCCTTCACATCC